CCAGTACCAGAAAAATAAAATGCCAGGGGATCTAAGAGCTGTTTCTCGGTGTAAAGAGGGCACTTCCCAGTGGTTGACAGCCAGGTGAGGAAAGGTCCATTCCCTCGAAAGGGGAGGGGAGCGGTCCTGGCGACACAGTTCCAGTCCAGTCTCTGAAATTCACTCACCAGAGCATGTCCCCCACCCAGGGTGGGGCAAAACTTAGAGCTCACAAGCTGAGGTTTCTTAAGACCCTTCCCAACCCCGTCTGTGCCTTGGATACCCCGAAAGGACAGCGACGTGTTGGGCTCCAAAAACCAAAGGCTGGAAGAGGAAAAAAAAAAAAAAATCTTCAGTTGGCAGTTGGAGAACCAAGCCCTGAGATTTTCCTAAGGCATTTCGGGAAATGTAGTCTTTTGATACTAAAAACCACCTCCGGGTCAGAACACCGGTGTGGGCGTGGACTTAAGGCTCTTCCTCCAGTGGGCGTAGACTTTCCCTGTGACCAGAAACTTGTCGTTTCCTGGTTTCCGGTTATCCACCGCCCCCACCCCCCGCTACTTCCCCTTTTGCTTCATGCACGCCGCTGCGCATGCGCTCCGAGCTCATCTCCTCTATTGGCTAGAGGGGGTTTGCATTCCGAAGACTACTTTTCCCAGAGGTTAGTGCGAGGGGCGTGGCCTGTCCGCCCCAAGGGGTGGGGCGGGGCGCGGCGTTCGGAGCAGACGCGGAACCTGTGACCTCTTTCTTTTATTTAACACAAAACTCGGTGCGTACAACTCACCTCTGCTCGGCCTGAGCAAAGGTGAGGCCAGGCTGCCCTGGGAGCAGGGGCGACACCTCGCCCTGCTCCTGGAGTTCGGAGATGCCAAGCCCCATTCCCCAGCTTCAGGTTCAGGACCCCTGCGCCGCCCACCCCGCGGGCCCGCTGGCGCTCTGGGGCTGCACTGGCCCGGCTTGGCCCGTGAGCACCTGCAGTAGCAGGTCGGTGGCCAGCATGTGGGATGGCTCCTCGAAGCCGATGGTCAGCAGCTGCTGGTAGTCTCCGGGCGGCTGCGGGCAGGACACCCTGGGGGCCGGGACACGAAGGGAAATTGAGTGCCCCTGCCCCTGGGAAGCCCACCTTTTAGGGAGATGGCAGCCCAAACAGGCTTTGTTACTCCGGGGGTGGGAAAAACCCAGGAGAAAGTAGGTTTCCTTGTGAAGGGAAGAGTCAGGGCTTCTGGGGGAAGTTGAATAACTGGCCCTGACTCCACCAGTCGCTGGGCTATGTGCCCTTGGGCAGGTAACTTAACCTCTCTGATTACCTGTTCATGTCTTTGTAAAATGGGGCCTGTAATACAAACCTCAGTGGGTTGCTACAGAGTCTGCATTAAACACTTCAGGGCACAAATAAAATGCCACTGTTGACATCAAGGGAAGTGAAGTGCTGGAGTGGATGGTCTTTGGTGAGCCCAAGCCCACCCTGTGCTCACTCAACTCCTACCATGAATAAAGGTCATCATCAGCTGGTCCTAGGGGTACCCATCGGCCGATGGACCACAGCTTCTGGATCTGGGGACATGAATTGGCTGGACTCTGGCCCGTGTCCTCCCATGTATCTCGGTAGCACAGGAAGTAGCTAGGGAGCAGAGAGGGACAATTCAGCTGAGCGGTGATACTGTAGTTCTGTTGAGGGTTTTATTTTTGGAGGTGAAGCTGAAACTTTTCCAAAGTCGCCCTGAAGTTCTCAGGTAGGGATGTGACTCAGTACCAAGGCCTCAAACCAAAGTGTGGTGTCCCGTGCCTATCATCCCAGCACTCTGGAGGCTGAGGCAGGAGGATCGCTGTAAGTTCCAGGCCATCCTAGGCTACATAGTGAGACCCTGCCTAAAAACAAAGAAAACTCACTGAGTCCCCCCAAACAAGTCCTTTTTTCCCTGCCAGCTCACTTTTAAGAGAAGACATTTTTAGGGGAGAGTGAGGTTAAGGAGAAAAAAAGGTAATGGCTGGGTGTGTAATTCAGTGGTAGAGCCTTTGCCTAAAATGCTTTTTGCTTGGTGGTGGTCTTGAGGCCCATGCTGGAATTGGGTATAGAGAGGGAAGGCTTTTGATTTTGGTAGGGAGAACTCACTAATCCACGTGGGAATTCTGCCCCTGGCTGCTGGGCTTTGGAGTAGTTTCTAGGTTCCAGCGCATCTTCTTGTAGAGGTACCGGGGCTGGCGGCTGGCAGTGTAGGCAGCTGGGGTGCAGTATCTGAAGATGGACACTTCCTGGAAAGGGCTGATGGAGAATCTCCCACAGAAGAAGCAGGAGATGCTGGCAGGAGATGGAAGAGTGGAAGATGAAGCTGGGGCCTGGGCTCTGCTGCAGTCCTAGGCAGGTGTCAGGCTCTCTTACCTCAGGGGTTCTGTCTCCTCCAGCTCCACAAAGCCAAAGGAGGCATACATGAGGACCAGCTGCTCCAGGCACAGGGTGAGCTGCTGGGAGATCTCCAACAGCTGCAGAGAAGGGGGCAGTGAGCCAGCCTGGCTGCAGAGCCTCACCCCTGGGCCTGGGCCCTGGAAGCTGCTACACTTACCCCCTTCCGGACCAGCTCCTGCAGGGCTCCATGAATGGGAGGCACGCTCCGTGCAGCAGCCTCGAGATAGAGGAAGTACGGTTCACACATCCTTAAGAAGGTGGGCATGGCCCTTGCCAGCTGTTCCTTCTGGACCTGGTCCCTGCTAAAGGGAGAAAGGGGTTTTTACCTGGGATGCCCCCACACCCTACCTCTCCCACTCTACTCACCTTCTGTTTTTATCCCTGTTCTGCCTTTTGTTTGTTTTTTGTTTTTTTGAGATACGGTCACAGTTTGCAGTGCAGGCTGGCACTTACTATGTAACCCAAGCGGGCTTCAGACTCACGGCAATCCTCCTGCCTCAGCCTCCTGGCATTCCAGATATGGTCTATTATGACCAGCTTTCTTTATTTTGGACCAGTGCTGTGGATGGAGGGAAGGGCCTTGGGCATGCTGGGCAAGTGGTTACCTCTGAGCGCTCCCTACCCACCCCCCTCTTGCTTTCCTGTTGGAAGATCCCTTGGTGTCAGCCCTTTCTCAGCATATCTTCCAGGTCCACTTGTGTCAAAGGCATTCAGAATCCTTGTTAAAACCCTAACACCCAGCTGGGGATGGTGATGTGCCACATGCCTGTAATCCCAGCACTTGGGAGGCTGAGACACGGGAATTGCCAGGAGTTCAAGGCCAGTCTAAACTACAAATTGAGACCTTATCTCAGAAAATCAAACAAACAAACAAAAACGTTAAAAAATTGACACCAGAATTTTACATAACTGCCAGGAATCTAGAGTTTAAACCAGCCTCCCAGGGGATTCCAATAGACTCTGAAATTGAGAATCAGTCTCCTCTGTCCTGTTGTGGCGATGGTGGGTGGTTTCAAACTGGTAGCCCACGGGCCAAACCTGGATCAGATGGGCTTGGTTTAGCTGGCACACTGTTCAAAATCTGAGCCAGCATTTACACTCTGGGAGGAATGTCCTTGCCTTGTGGCAGCCCAGAGGCCTGTGCTGCTTGTGCCTTGGACCTACCCAACCCCAGTTCTGCACACTAGATTCCCCCTCAGCTAGCTTCATGCTAATACTTTTGACTGCGACTTGGCGTGGCCTGCCTGCCTAGCCTATCACCCTCTCTTGAGTTCCCTTCCAGGGTCACCTATAGAGTAAGTAGCTTTGGAACTCATCCGCCTTCTTGAGCAGATAGCAGAGCTGCTCGGTGACGGGGCTGAACATTGCATCCAGGGTCAAGCGAGCTGAGGCCGGAACTGCAGGCCCTGGGTCTCGGTCCGCTGCCTCTCCCGCCACCCGTCCCTGGGCATCCTCGGGCTCCGTCACAGATGGGTCCTCAGGCCTGCCAGGTGTTGTAGGCCACGAAGAATCCCCGAAAGGCTGTACCCCGGGTTCCAAGTCGTCCAGAGATGGCGTTTCTTCGGGGCCCAGCGGGGGCGACCCTGAAAACCACGGTTTCGCAGCCATCTAGGGGCAAAGGGCGGAGACCTGCGCTCTTTAAGCCTCCGCGGCGCACGTTTGACCCCGCCCTGGGGGATGGGGATGCGTAGGAGTGGCCGGGGCCAGAGCGGCCGCCTTCTCTTGCCTGGCCTCAACCTCTCCCCAGCCGCCAGGAGTTCGCTTTATTTGAATTCTGGCTCGTGCCCGGGCCGCGCACCTGCGCGCTCTGGACACATGGCGCGTGGGAGGGGGACAGCGAGGGCGCAGACCCAGGTATCTGTGTATTGGGCATGCAGGGATCTCAACATGAGTCCACATGGGAAGATGCGTGTCGGCGCCTAGAGGAGCCCAGACTACGGGCCAATAGAGTTGTGCTCTGGGTAAGGATGCACGATGTCCCAGCTGTTACTACTACTAGCAATAAAATTCCTTTGGAAAGTTTTTCCTCGCCCACCACCTTATTGTCGGCCCGTCCCTTGACGGTGTCACCACACAAGAGCACAAAAGGCCGACAGGTCCATGGTGAAGCTATAAAGACAAGGACATTAATTATGTTCAAAGGCTCTGGGTAAAGAAGGCGACAAGTGTCAGTCACCACCTTGTGTGACCTCAAGCGTCTTTGCTGAGCACGTTGCCTTCTGTATAAACTCAGTTTTTATGAGCTCTTTTGTCAGAGAGGACAATCAAGAAAATGCTCATAAAATGTGGAGTTCATTTAGTCACTCAACCAGCATATGAGCACCAACTGTGTGCTAGGTGGCTTTGGACATTACTTCTTTTTGTCTTTTTTCCTTTTGCACTGCCAGGACCTTCTGCGTGCCAGGCAGGCACTCACAAGAGCCACACTGCCCAGCCTGGAGCACGTACTCATGGACTTGGCTGTGAAGCAGCACCATCACTACCCTTCTGTGTTCCCCAAGTTTCTGTCCTACCCTTAGGGGCCCCTAGGAGGATCTTCTGTACCCCTCCCCCACTCCATTCATAAAATAAACTTGTATCTTCCTTTCTTTTACTTTTTTTTTTTTAAATTTTATTTAAAAAACCTTCGGTGCAATATTAAAAAGCAATACAGCCAGCTGGAGCAATGACTGACAGAAAAGAAAGGGAGGGGAGACAAGGCCCAGGGACCCCACCCAGCTGTCCTCCAATCTTCCTGTGGCAGGAGGCCAGGGGCAGCAGGCTGGGAAGGGGGCATGGGTGGTGGGGGAGGGAGGAGACCACCCACCAAAATGAACGAGCAGAACAAAACATTTATATAGGAAACATCTGGCCGAACTGAAAATGATTTTGGGGGAAGCCCAGTTTGTTTGTTTGTTTGTTTTCCCAAAAATGTCCTTGGGTGGGGAGGGGATTGGCCTCCTGGAGTCCCACCTTATACTCCACTGCTAGGGAGCAGATATGCAGGAAGCAGGTGTGTGTGAGAGACAAAGGGAGATGAATGGAGAGGCACCCCTCACCAGATCTGTCACCAGGGCCCCAGGTGCCCTAGACAGCTCCTGGACTCTGGGGGCTTGGGTGAGATGGGCACTGGAATGGGCCCCGGGAGGGCAATGCCTGGCACTCAGCCTAGAAAGCCATCAGGGTCATCATCTTCGAAATGGCCTTGCTGAAGCACCTTGATGTGGTGCTCGTAGATTTTGAGGGCTGGGCCCAGGCGGATGGAAAGGCCGGTTAGCACATCTGTGCGCTGCATGAGCAGCAAGGACTTGCCGTCGATCTCCTGGGCAGGACAGAGACAGGGTCAGAGTTCACCCACTGGACCCTGGGGAGAGAGGAAGCCCTGGGCGTGGACTCACCTGCTCCTGGAAGGCAGTGGCCTGCTCGGGGAAGCCAGCCTCAGTGAAGTATTCTACCACGTCCATCACCGTCCACTCCACGGGGTCTGCCGGCTTCTCCTTGCGGCTGGGACTGTAGTGAAACATGCGGCTGAGTGACCACCGATGTCCTTCCTCCTGTTCCACACAACCCAGCAGTCCCCCCAGGTCCTTGAAGGCCCCAACTTACGGACAGCCAAAGGGGGTCCCATCCGCCCCAGGGAGGGCTGGCTTTCCTGGAGGCAAAGGCACAGGGGATGGGGAATCTGGCCCGGTGGCAACAGAGGCTGGGAAAGAAAAAGCAGGAGCCTATGGCATTGTCCTGGTCTGCAGTTCCTGCCCACCCCGCACTCCCCCTCCCCAGTCCTTACCCGATCCTCCTTCCTTACTCATGGCTGCCATGGAGAATACCTGGCGGGTACCACCGCCTGGTGCCAGTCCCCGCCCTTCGTCCTGCCCCGGGAGGGGTCCACAAGGCGTCCACTCCTTGACCCTTTCCTTAGCGCTCGGAGGGCCACGTTCGCCATTAAGCTGGAGGTGCTGGGCACCTGCAGGACGGTCGTTCTCGGGCACTTCTGAGCCCTCAGACACATCATCTTCATCATCTTCGTCGTCTTCATCTTCTTCTTCCTCTTCTTTCTCAAGCAGTCGCTCTTCTCCACTTCTCTGAAGCCAGGGAGAGAAGCAATCAAAGTTGGCGGATTCCGGCCCAGTCGCACGACCCATGCCACCTTTGGTAACAACACCGAGTAACTTTTGCATTCACTCCGTGCCAGGCTCAGTGTTCACAGAACCGTCTGCAAACCTCAATAAAGTCACTTCACAACCCCAAGGGGTCGCTACTGTGATCCAGCCACGCTGACAGCGATGGAAACTGAGGCTGAAAGCAGACGGAGTCCCTTGCCAAGGTCACTATGCGCGGAGCCCGCTGGGGACGCGCACACGGCTCGGGGCCCCCCACCTCCCCATTCCTCTTGGGACACCAACTTCGCCCGCCCGCCAGCCCGCACACGCC